TGCATTGATGCTTGCGTACAAAAAAAGTTCTTCCAGTAGGAAATTGGATGACTTTTTACGGAGGAATCAAGTCGGAGTTTTAATTTTTGTAACTTTTTAAGGGTTTCTTTCCAATTAAAAAAATGGGGTTGTGTAAGAAACTTCGACTTCGAGGGACGTTAATGTGAGTCGTGTTTTTGTAAAAGTACCATATTGTGCGGTGCATTAAGCGACATACTAAAATCCGGTTTTTGGCACACGACGGACGCAAAATAAGTTGTTTGTTGAAAATTGTATTTGTGTACTATAATTAGTCATTTGCTACGAATACATAGACCTTTTGAGTCCTTGCTTTATTATAATAATTTCAAAAAAGTATATGAAACGCCTATTCCAAAATAAACATCGGTTGATATATTTCAGCGTATTTTTAAAGCACCCAAACCGTTTCGAAATCATTTACTTTTTGGAAATCAACAAACGACTTTATATATATTTTTACCTTAACTTAAAATATTTTCACTAACTATTATTGTTACACTACAGAACTCTTTCAGTGCTCATTAAACGATTCTGAGTGCGGCAGAATCAACATTACTTTTTACCGCTTTTGTTTTATCTAGGTAAAAGAACGCCATCTTTTTGTTATCTAGGAAACTGTGAATCTTGTTTTAAAACATCTGTACCAAAACCACTGACCTGTATGGATACACGCTGGACAGGTGGTTGCTTAAAATGACTGTTTTTGCTTCGTTTCAATTTGAATGTGCTAGTTAAAGTTACTGTCGGCTTATTCTATCTTTATTATAAGTTCCAATTTCGAACACGGCTACCATTGGCGCCAAAAACCAAAATTACAAATAATCATGTATCCTAACCAGCGGAAAATAGAGGTCAATGAAAGAAATACAGTCATTTGTTACAAAATTACGTTTTTTTACAAGTTTTGGGCTGTGGAGATTCACTGTATTAAGGAAGGTAAAACTGGCAGACATAACAACAAATTTCTTTCTATCTCTTTCCCTCTAAAAAAGTAGATTAAATCATGTATGTAAACATTTCACTAAGAAATCCTCGTTTTTAAATTGGATTGAATCGTATTAAAATTTGTTTAATGTTACGTAGTTTTGAAAAAGAAAAAAGTTCGCTTTAAAATCATCATTTATTTATTTAACAAAATAATCCAACTACACCATTAAATTATTTACGTCATAAAAACAACTAATATAAATACATTTAGCCAAAATGCACACAACATATAGCAAAGCTAAGCAGTGCTCAAGTAATATAATAAATACCTAATCGTTAATATAAAATCGAACATTAAAATACAATTTTAATTTTAAAAAGGATCGTGTTTGACCCAATGCGATGTAGGAATTGACGGTAGGCTCCCGCGTTTCTTTACGTCTCATCTCTGATACTCAAAATCGTGATGTTCATGTGTGCAGCGACTCATGTGAAACGGCGAGCCTCTATAAAGTTTGGATTGCATTATACATCAATTCTTACGTTCTTAGTATAAGAAAAAATACAGTAAGTTTACAAAGTTGGCTATTTAAATTAAAGTGACAAAATAATCCAATATTATATTATATTTGCTTATTTATTAGACTAACACAGCCTATAATTTTTCAGAATTTCCAATGTTCGATTTGTAATATTAACAACCTGGTATTCAAAACAAAAGTCTTTTATGTCTTATATGTTACGTTTATTTCACATAAAACTGACTAAAAAGATTCTACATTACAATTGCTTAGTTTTTACTGGCAGTAGGTACGCTGTCTGGTGAGGTCGGCTTCTCTTTGTTCCAGTCCTTAAGTCCTTCGGGAAGTGTTGTATCTTCTTCCAGTGATCCAGTTCCTTCGACAAACTCTTCATATGTACTCTTCTCAGGGAAAGGTCTAGGTCCCAATAGTTCTATCATGTCATCTCTACTTAATATTTCCTGCTTAAGTAATCTTTCTGCAACTTTGGTAATATTATCTTTGTGCTTTGTGAGTAATTCTGTTGTATGTCTGTGAGCCGAATTTATTAATTCCCTCACTTCTGTATCAATTAGTTCTGCGGTCTTCTCCGAGTAGGGTTTATCGATAACCATTTCTCCGGGTTGTGGCATTTCAAAGGAAACATTCCCTACTTTCGCATTCATACCGTAGTGGACGATTTGAGCGTATGCACTTTGGGTTATTTTCTTAAGATCGTCTTGAGCGCCGGTTGTTATTCTCCCAAAGAATATTTCTTCACTCACTCGTCCACCTAGAGTCATACACATGCGATCAAAAAGTTGTTCTTTGCTGTACAGATACTGTTCTTTGGGTAAATACTGTGCGTAACCCAATCCTTTGCCTCTGGGTATAATGGATACTTTGAGCAATGGATCCGCATGTTGCAGGAACCAGCCTGCTACAGCGTGTCCAGCCTCATGATACGCTACAATCTTTCTCTCATCAGGTTGCAGGACATTGGATTTTTTCTCCATACCAGCGACAACCCTTTCTATGGCTTGCTCAAAGTTCTTCATATTGATATCATGCGCAAGTTCTCTGGCAGCAATTAAGGCTGCTTCATTACACACATTTGCAATGTCAGCACCTGTGAAGCCTAAAAAAATATGGTTTATTAAATAATAGACTAAATAAGATTCATTAATTTTAGTAAATTTAATTTGCACTATTTGTATACCTTAAATAATTATAGTAATAGCTATTCATCCCTTCTTCTAATTATTTCGTTCTATATATTATTTGTTATGGTTGTGCACCGTGATATGAATTGTTTCAAAATATTGCGTATTTATTTTGGATGTGACAAGGAGGTAGTCTTTTTTTTGCATTGGAGACAAACTCCAAGCTAGGAGACTAAAACTTTAAGATTGTAAAAGAAACAGGCCTAGGATGCTTTTGAAAATAATAAAATCAATAAATTTAGGCTGATATGCTTACTAAACAATACGGAATACTGGTAAAAAAATCCCTTTGGGCCTATAAAATCCATAGAATTTTTCGTATTTTTCCGTAGAACGATCAGAACAATGGGTAATCCACTGTATATTAAATAACAGAAATTTATGTCTATTATTTATTATTCAGTTGACATGAATAAATCTTGGTCTCAATATCCAAATTCCTACAAAATGTCATAATGATCAAAATACGAAAAATGTTTTAGTTTTTAAGATACATTAACTACTATACCTGGTGTTAATGCAGCCATTTTGCGTGCCAAGTTATCCTTGTTCAATGTTGTCTTCAGAGGCCCTAAATGTACTTTGAAAATAGAAGCCCTTCCCTTAATGTCTGGTGCAGGGACAAAGATTTGTCTATCAAATCTGCCAGGTCTGAGAAGAGCTTTATCAAGAATGTCCACTCTGTTTGTAGCAGCCAGAACAACTACATTTGTAGTTGTGTTAAACCCATCCATTTCAACAAGGAGCTGATTAAGAGTATTCTCTTGTTCCGAATGTCCGCCGAAATTACGTCCACCTCTCTTTCTACCGACCGCATCAATTTCATCAATAAAAAGAATGCAAGGAGCATGTTTACGTGCCATAGAAAACATATCCCGAACTCTAGAAGGACCAACACCAACAAACATTTCCAAAAATTCTGAACCAGACACCGTAATGAATGGAACATTAGCCTCACCAGCTGTTGCTTTAGCCAGTAACGTCTTTCCCGTACCAGGAGGGCCAGTAAGCAATGCACCCTTTGGAATTTTAGCTCCTAAATCAATGTATTGTTGAGGATTTTTCAAGAAATTCACAAATTCCATAATCTCAATTTTTGCTTCTTCACAACCAGCAACATCTTTGAATTTTACACCAATGTCAGTTGGGTTTATCAATTTAGCTGTAGACTCCATAACACCACCGAATAAACCACCGCCTTTACGACCAGCTCCCCCCATCATATTAGCAGACCTTCTCATCATATAAATTAAGAAACCAATTATCAAAAGTGTTGGCAGCATTCCCGTCAGACTTGCAGCTTCTACCTCAGTTTTATAAATTACAGGAACAAAGTTTGGCGGGTCCACATTCAGCTCGATTTGTGAATTCTCCAAGTTTCTTTCAAATGAATCAACACTGCCTATTGCAAACCAGATCACCTTTCCTTCCAATGCAGCACCTGGCTGTAATTTCACTCTAACCCACTTTTTATTTATGACTTCAAGTTTCTCAACAACTCCTTTGTTTAAATATAAGTTGACGAAGTCTCTCCAGCTTATCTCCCTGTATCTTAACTCGAAATAAGCGATCGATGCCAATAATGTTACGACACCCATTGCTCCGAACATCATCCATTTTTCTCTGTCCTGATTGTCGAAGCCGCCTCTTCCTCCTCCTCTACCACTTCCTGAACTACTGGAGAACATGTTTATGTTCCATTTATCTTGTGAAGATGAAGGTTTTGACGGGGGAGGTGTAGTTTTTGATGGTGCAGGAGACTCATCTTTTTCACTTTTTTTTGTCTGTTTTTGGCTTGCACCGGGCTGAAAATATTTTTCAAAACCTTTCGGTGGCTTTTTACAAAATTCATACCACTGATTTAATACTGAATCGAGTGCCGGAACACCGACTGGTTGCAATTTGTGGCCATTGAAATGTATCTTAGTTAACTGTGACTGTGTTAATCTTAAGCCTTTCCACATGCTGATTCTTGTGATATTTACAATTATTTTATTTTTAATTATTTCACAATATTATATCGCCCAGTGCACGAAAAAAAGAAACGATTGGTCACGACAAAAACATGGTTAGAAATCTGTCAAATTTGCTAATTATGAAAAAGTGTTGCACAAAATTGAAAAATAGTAATGAGATGTTACATCACTTTTTGTATTTATCAAATGATAATATGGCTTAAATTACAAACAATTATTAGAAATCTTATGCACTTAACATTACTACTGTGAATTTAAAAATCTTTTAATTTTAAATCATAGTTTCATTCAAAAAGTGTTGCCATATTTCAAAAATAGTAATCATATGTTTTTTGTTTTACATCTGTATCAGCACAACGAAATTGAAGTTTAATTTATTTAATTCAGTAAATAAAAGTGCTAAATACATAGGTAACTCTCACAAAATATTTACATAGGGGAATAGATTACGTGTACTGATAAATAAAAGTGTGGTTTGAAATTCAGGTTATTTATCTTAATTTAAAACTATAACTAACGGTTCGAAAAGTGTCACGACATGGATCAGGAAAGGCCAGAAAGTACGATAAATCACGGAAAACGTAGTCGACCTTTGCTACTACAACCAAGTCCAAAAATAGCAAGGTTATCAGCTTACGGGAGTTCATCTAGTTCAGCGCTTAAGAATTCAAAAAAATTGGGACCACATTCGCTTAAAAAGACTAAACCTTTGATTAATAAAAATGATGTACCTCCCCCTGGTACCCCAGTACCTGATAAGTACGTTCGTAAGGCTGGTCCTTACCTATTAGGACCGAAACTGGGGCCTAGTCCAGTCAAGAGTATAGTTCAGTGTCTGGCAAGAAAAGAAAAAACTGATGAATATTATCAAATTAAGATTTTAACGCTTCGTAACGAGGGCCAACCTGAAACACAAGATGATAGACAAGGGAAGATGTTACTGCACACAGAATATTCATTATTGTCATTATTAAAGGATCAAGATGGTGTGGTTCATCACCATGGACTTTTTAAGGTAACACATTGTATCCTAGTAAATAAAATGATGTTAGAAAAAAGTATAGAAATTATCTCTTCACATGACAACTGTCCACATACTTTGACCCCTCTGATGAAAATAATTATATCTTTTTAAAAGATGCTATAAGAGATTTAACTCTTTCAGTAGACACAGTGATGTGAAATTTGTACAAAGTGCTTGGTACTTTATAATTTGATGATTAAAAATTACCAAATATTTTTTTTAGGATCATGCTCTTGAGGAAATACCTAATCCAAATGGCCCGGGTTTTCTATACACTGGTCGAGTTCGGCAGAGATTATTTCTTGTTTTGGATTGTGTAACATCACACCAGTTCAGTGAGAAAGGCAGCGAGTTGATAAATTTGCAGCAGTATGTAACAAAAGTGAAGAAAGTTCCGGAAAAAGAAGCTGTCCTTATATTCTATGATATTGTTAGAGTTGTTGCCAATTTACATAAGGTATGCTTTTGATGTATATTTTATTCTTAACTAACTGTTCCCTGTGACTGTTCATGCAGAATTAAGAAAAAATAAGTAGCATGTTTTTTTCCATACATGTTCTACATCTATGCCATATTTCAGTGAGATCTGTTGAGCTATTTGGAGATATCTTTTAAGAAACATTCAAACTTTCACATTTATAATATTAGTAAGAAGTAATATGCTTATGATATACCAAGAAATTAGTTGATAAAAGATAGGTAGACATATAGAAATTACTGAATATCTAGTTAGTAAAATAGGTTGTATTAATAAATGTCAATATAAATAGTGAGATATCATTAGTCTTAATTGCCTTAATATTTTGTTTCTCGGTTTTTCCGAAGTGAAAATGAAGGATGTATGTTTTTGTACAAGTGACAGTCAATATTCACAGTAATACATACTCCGTTTCAGATAAACATAGTACACAGAGACCTGAAGCTAGGCAATATAGTGCTGAACCAAAGAACAGGCCGGATAACAATAACAAACTTCTGCTTGGGCACACATTTAGGGAGTGACAGAGATTTGTTAAAGGATCAGAGAGGTAACATAATAAATTTTACTACTAATTACTTTCTAATGATAAAATAAATTGCAGTCTATAGTCTAGTTTGTTTACATTCTTCCATTGGTTTTTGATAACATTAACAGTGAAAAAGCCAAATATTGCTGCATAGATTATAAAATGGGAATTTAAAAGTGGTAGAGCCCGCTTTAACATCTTAGCACGAATCGTCCCGACTCGCCCAGTTAAATACCATGACCACACAAAAGACATGCGTGAAGTGGAAGCAATTCCGTGTTTCGTCTGATGAGTGTGGTTCTGGACATACTTCAAACATACATACACATTTCAAAATTCATAATAACTTTTTCAACCTCACCCGAGACAACATGCATTTAACTCAAAAGCAAAGCATTTAAACGAAGTTCAAAAACAAAACTGTCAATAACCTTTGATAAGTTACATGATTGTCACCTGTCAGTTCTATACATTTTTGAATTTTGTTATTTGATTGCTTCGGACCTAATGCACATTGCCTTGGAGTCAGGGTGTGGAATATATGCATGCCATTGGTTCACCATCACTGTAATAAATCTGTATTCAGTGATGTCTGAATAGTTCTTGTTCATTTCCTAACATGTTTCTTGATTGTTGTTTTAAAAAATTCTTCAATCTTTCAGGTTCACCAGCTTACATATCTCCGGATGTGTTAATGTGCAAGCCATACCATGGTAAACCGTCAGACATGTGGGCACTTGGTGTTGTCTTGTATACAATGTTGTATGGACAATTCCCATTCTGCGATACTAGTCTCACACAGCTCTTCAGTAGGATACAGGCTGCTAGTTATAATATACCTCCGTAAGTTATTATGAATTTATTTAGTAAAAATATACATTGCATAGATGTGAAACATCCCTAAAGTCGATTTTAAGATTGAATTCATAGAATTGTAAAGTTATTAATAAGCTAATCTCTCTAACCGGTATCAATGAAATATATTTTTTACATCTTATTTTATTTAATAACTTTACGGTTTCTGTATGTTTCCTAGAAATATTTAACATAATTTGCTAATAATCTATAGTATACTAGCTGTCGCCCGCGACTCCATCCGCGAGTATTTCAAAAAACCGATCAATAATCGAGGTAAAAACTATCATATAACCGAAGTTAACTCAAATTACAGATGCTTACAAAGTGTGATAAGAATTGGTTCATTAGTTTCGGAGTTTATCTCGAACATGCATCTTGATAAAAAGTTTATATATGCATATATTGTTAAGAAGAAAAACCGAAAATGTAGCAGTGTATTGACCCAACACTAGCTTTACTAAAATGTCGACGTTTGTGTCCAGTCACTAATCATTCTGATACTGCACTTTGTAACGAAAGCAAGTCATTCGCGCTAAAGAATTCTAACGAAAAATGTCTAAGAATATTAAATTGGAATTCATAGATGTTTATGTTTTTTTGATATTTGTAATAAAAGCATGTATTTATTTTATTTTGATATTGTATTTTTTTAATTCCAGGGACGGTAATTCAGTACAAGTTTCAAATAATACGGTCTTCTTGATTCAAAGACTATTGGTTAAGGATCCAAAACACAGATTACTTGCGGATGATGTAAGTTCTTATATTCTTCTATAGCTTCCTCTCTTTTATTATCTACTAGCTGTCGCCCGCGAATCCATCCGCGCGGAATTAAAAAAAATCTTAATGAGTAGCCTACGTGTTCTTCCAGATTATGTCGTACATCTGTTCCAAATTTCATCAAGATCCGTTAAGCCGTTCCGGAGATACCTTCAAACAAACATCCATCTAAACATTCGCATTTATATTAGTAAGATTTAATTTTGCAAATTAGATTTTCAACTGTAGTTCATCAATAACCTCACGCCTTAACCCAGAGCGGTAGACAGAGAAGAATTCCATATTGAGAAATTTTTAATATTAATTTTCAGGTATTGGATCAGTTATCAAGTATAATAGCAAGTTATGTGATAGTACCAAATCCTCCAGAAGACCTCCAGGTGGTCCCCGATGTACCTTTACAAGAAGAGACAGATGAGAAACCAGCTGTTCAGAATAAGGATACTACACCAGAAAATACTGAACGGACATCTAATAATCATGTAAGTGTGATTTATTTCCATTTTAAATAAAAACTAGCTCTCGCCCACGACTCTGACTGCACGGGATTTAAAAAAAAAATCATAAGTAGCCAAATTTTATCAATTCAAATGCAAACAAAAATCAAGGTTTCTAATAAATATCTATCCATTCAGATATTATTATGAGTTAGAGTTGTTTACATACCATTTGTGAATTTAATGTAATTTTAACTATAATTTTCTTAACTTATATAAAAACGGCTAAACACTTATGTATATTCGTCCGGTGGCGGCACCAACTAGTTTCGAGCCTATCGGGGGCCCTTCATCAGGATGAGTGGTACTGGTATTATTTCTGGTATTATTAGTGAGCGATGGGCCGCGGTTGAAGTTTGAATAAAATAATTTTCTTTTTTTTTTGAGATGTTCAAATTATTTTTTGTATTATCAAAAGTTTAATAACAAGCACTTTTATTAAAAATTTGTATTTTGAAGTAAATTTAACATATAAAAATTTATATTTAAAAAAAAAGCCATCCGGACTGCTATTAGTTTTTGTAATTTATTTTTTTCAAATTTCAGGAAGAAATGGGTGTATTTTGTGTGCCCTTACCCGAATTCTTCGCTCTAAACTTCCCACCAGCGAACCGACAGAACGGCATCATAATACCAACAACAGTTGATTCATCATCAATCACATCACCTAATAATAATCAACGTCAAATAACAGTACAAAGAATAGGAAGAGATGCAAGACCACTGTTACCATGTGAAATAGCAAGATATCAACATATGTTTGCAACAAATCGAACGGAAAGAAGATCTGAAATACAAAACTTTGTTCCGGAAAGACAGGAACGACCTGAAAATTCAAGATTAAGAACACTAGCTCAGAGAATACCGAGGTTAAATGCAAGTAATCCCGCAGATTTTAGAGTGATACCTTGGTCTGAAAGATCTAGGTTACAAGATAGGACTTGGGATCAAGATGCTGTTGTCAGATTGTCTATTTTAGATTTATCTCGGCCAAATAGAATAATGAATCCTCCTCCGGTGCATAGTGTCAATCCTGAATCGGTTATTAATAATCCAAGACCACCCGTTGATAATTCTGAATTGGATTATAACTAGATTTTTTTTAGAGACTTTGGTTATTATAAACATGTTAGTTTTATAACTACTAACAAAATAATTACAACTACAAGTAAAAGAAAATAAGATTTTTTTTTTTAGATTTTTTGAATCACTGCCGAATAAAAAAATCTTGTCTGTAGCAGTAAATATAGGAATATTATTCGAATTTATCTTGTACGTACGGAAATTTTTGTACAAAAATATTGTAGTTTTTTTTTAAATATAGTGAAGTTTAAATCTTTTTTTTGATTTCGGCAAAATGCTCATAGATAAGAATTTTTTATAACCACAAAAAGAGAGATTTTTTTTAAAATTAATATTTGGTATCTTCGATTAGTGTTTTGACAGAAAAATCATATGAATTTATAATATTAGGCGACATATCTAAAAAAAAAAAATATTTTTTTATAAAATGTAGACGAAACGAATCTATCCTCTTTAATATTGCGGCCAAATCATGCTTATAGTATGTATAAACATTTGTATTAATTGTTAAGATAGAATAAAATGTGTCACATTACATAATGTATAAAATACTGTACATAGAATTAATTATTTTTAGGTTATTATTAATGAAATAACAAAGAACCCAAGGAAAGGGTAATTTAAGTCTGATTTTCAGCTTCTCAAATGTGTAGGGTAGTTTTATATTATTACAGTCGAACCTGGATAAGAGAGAAATCACTACAACCGAGAAACTCGGGTAAGAAAGAAACCTCTATAAGCGAGAAATTTGGGTTACAGAGAAACCCCTAAGACCGAGAAATTTGGGCTAGAGAGAAATCTTTTTAAGCAAGAAATTTAGGTTAGAGAGAAACCTCTATAAGCGAGAAATTCGGCTAAGAAAGAAACCTCTATAAGGGAGAAATTTGGGTTAAAGAGAAATCTTTCTAAGCAAGAAATTTGGGTTAGAAGAAATCTTTCTAAGCAAGAAATTTGGCTTAAAGAGAAATCTTGCTAAGCAAGCTTTGGGTTAGAGAAAAACCTCTATAAGCGAGAATCTCGGGTAAGAGAGAAACCTCTATAAGCGAGAAATATGTCGCGGTTCCTTGGGCTCTCCTAACCAGGTTCGACAGTATTTGTATATGTACTTATAATATTTTGTACATAGGGTAACATCTTGTTAAGTGTTGCCAATAGATTTATTTATTAGCGTAATAGTAATATCGGATTTGTACATAAGTTTCAATTATATTGTATTTACGATGTAAGATTTATTTTTACTAATACGATGAATATTGGGGCGTGTAAAAGAAATTCTGGTATTTTTTTTTTATAAAATTCATACAAAATAACTTCAAAATATTAAATTTATAATTTTTAATCATCCATTTTGTTTAATTAATTTATGATATATTATGATTATGAAAAAGCAAATCGATATTTTTATTAATGTTTCGTTTTCAGTTAATTTAGTAATTTTTTATCTGTGAAAATTAGTTTATGGTTCGATAATGGCATTACTAATGGACTTTGTACTTTTATTAAGGTTTTTAGGTTATTTTTTTTAGACAATTTAAAAAATATCGGCCTCATTGTTTTTCTAAAGACTAACCAAGCAATTTTTATTCTCAACACGTTAAGGCCATTGTTATATTTTTTTATATAATCTGTTTTAAAAGTTGTGTTCATTGTCTGTGGTGATTATCTGACATCTGTCAAGTTGATAAAATTTGTTAGTGTAAAATCAACTTTATTCCCTTGAGTTAAAGTTGTTTTCACAATAACATTTTTTAAGTACTGAAATTTCATATTTTCCAATAATAGATTATATTTAAGTAGGACAATTTTTGTTATTTGTTAATTGCATGGCTGTATTGGGGTATGCACAAATAAAAAAAAATATTACAAAAAATTTCTTTTTTTTTATTTCAATTTTGAAGAAGACACGATAGTTTGATGCTAACATTACGGTTGTTTTTTGGTTGGTTAAGACTAATTATGGTCTTTCGCAAAGTTAGTTCGACTTATAGTACTTCAAGAAGCGAGCCTATCACCATCTCAAAGGCCGGCAACGCATCTGCGGTTCCTCTCGTATTGCTGATGTCCATGGGCGTCGTTGAACACTTCGGTGTTCCCGCTGCTTGTTTGCCCCCTTCTGTTAAAAAAAAAAGTTAATATTATACACGTAATGCTATTATTTCAGCAAAGAGTTTCATATTTTTTAACTTAATTGTGCTATACATAGCCATGTAACTGTAAAAAATAAAAAAAAACAATAAAACACCAAAATTATAGTTCTTATTTGTTCAATTAATTTAGTTAAAAAAAAAACATTTAAACGATAGTTCATAGTACGTGATGACAACCGTCTATTAAGTACGATATTAATCCTCATATAAAATTAATTCGATAATTCATAAGCGTCACTTGTTTAACTAATTAATTTTAAATAGACACACTGTAGCCGTAATAATTGTCAACATTTATTATTGAGATGGCAACAAAAAAGGTCAATATAAAACTCAAGTTAATTCTTTGATATTTTACTCCTATTTTTAATATTTTTTTGGGTATTTTTATTGTTCATCTCCCTTTTATATCCAAATGGAGCCAATCACATTTATTTCAATAAAGCCTATCAAATAAAAAGCCTGTATCGCCCCGAGGTAGAAACAGAATAGCGTAACGATCGAAATCTGTCGGATTATACTTTATTTACCGTCTCGTTTTATATCATAGCGCTTTGTTATTGGAATTTACATTGTTTGAGGGTGAACTAAGTAAAAGTACGTAATAGATTTTCTTATTTTTGTCGACATTTTTTTTATAAATATATGTTACTTTCGCCCACGACTCCATCTGCGCTGTATTAAAAATAAACATAATACTCACTGACGCTTCGCTCCTATTGCTCGCAGCGTAATGTTACATAGCCTTAAGCTTTCCTCAATAAATGGACTATCTACTAAACTATCCATCAAAAAAAATATTTTTCAAATCGGACCAGTAGTTCCTGAGATTAGCGTGTTTAAACAAACTCTTCCGCTTTATAAAATTAGTATAGATAAGATCTACTTACATACGTACCATAAACTGTTTAGTTTTTTTTATATTATGAGATGTCAAACGAGCAAGCGGCCACCGGAATTGGCGGAAATATTTAATAATTATTATATTTAAATAAGAAACAAGAAATGTGTTTAATTTAACATTATGAACATTTAATTTGTAACGTTGTAGAAAATAGTTTTCAGTTGGAGTCGTCAATTATTTATTAACAAGATGATTATCAATAGTCAACATCATGTATATTATTTCCATATTTTTTAAAACAAATCAAATATAAATTTACAATAATTGAAGGTAAATTTACATTCTATCTTCGTAGTTATTTGGGTACGTATTAGCATATTAGGCGGCGCCTAAGGCGACAGATCCGCTTCATACATTCCTCCTTTTTGTCAGCAAAATTGAGCCACATACAGCATGTTTGGAAAAAATTGCAACGAATAAAACATAACATTTTAAAATTGTTTTTTGAATCTATACCTATGAATGGTTGATGGATGGATAACAATTTTGTAACTTTATAAGTATTTTGTTTTAAATTTATATTACTACGACTTTAACAACGACATTACTAAAGCGTAACCTTTATGTTTTGGTGCCTAATTAAGATTTACCAAATGTTGTTTCACTTCTCTGGCGCTTATATCCAAAGTGACCAAAAATCTTCGCCTCCGATACCACAGAGCGCCATCGCTGTCTCTACTGAACTGTATCTTGCCAGTCTGCTTGGAGAACGCTTATCCAGATCTACAACATTCTTCTGGGTAAGTTGACTTTTACTCTTATAATAATTTTCAAATTACATTTCCTACATACTTACATTGAATTTACATTTTTTTTGTATTAATATAGTATTCTACTACCGTGATAACTATATTAATACAAAAAAAAAATGTAAATTCAATGTAAGTATGTAGGAAATGTAATTTGACACGGTAGTAGAATACTACGCTTAAAAAGTTCTGTCATGCGAAATAGAAACGGTTTGTTAATTTTGAACATCCTTTACACAGTATTCACGTATGAAAGATTACATCGGCAAGCGGGCACAAGGCGAACAGCAAATATATCACGCGATGTCATCAAGTCATAAATTATTTATGACTTTTTTATACTCGTACCTGCTGCAGGATATTATCTGTGAAATTTTTTAAATCTACTTACAGATAAAATAGGGTGTAAATCAAATCCTTATTTAAATAATGTCGCGTATTATGAGTGCCATCATATACATACGTTATTTGTTTTTTTTTCAAATTGTAATCTTACATTTTACTAATATTATAAATGCGAATGTTTGAATGGATGAATGGATGTTTGTTTGAGATATCTCTAAAACGGTTGAACGGATCCCGCTGAAATTTGGCATAGATGTAGAACATAGTGTGGAAGAACACGTAGGCTACTAATTATGTTTTTTTTAATTCCGCGCGGACGGAGTAGCTGGCGACAACTAGTGCTGTAATAAAAAAGTAATCTTGTCAAAGTATCCTAAGAATCTTCAGCTAAAGAGTCATATAATTGAGTTTATTAAATTAAACTAGTAGTCTTAGCAGTCTTATCGATGGTTTCTGAGACCTTTCTTAATAAAACATCACAATAATTATCTTTGATAAAACAAAGACAACAGTATATTTGGATTTTGGTCTCAGAAACCCACGGATAGTCGTACAAAACCTAAAATATAACTAATCTTATCTTTTTAGAACTATCTAAAAAAAGTTTATAAGCATTTCGTTTTATACTTAATAGAGCGTAAGAATATTATAACTTAATGCGTAAATAAATAGTTACAGTGGTTCTTACTCTATCTTTTTTGCAGCAGCAATTTCAGCTGACACATTGTGCTGTTCCAGCTATATTCTAACTGCCAATAAAAATAGTTCAGGTAATTTATGGCGAAAACAAATCATTGGTAAACAATGAACGTTGCCAGTAATGTAGCCACACGTATCGATGCTCTATTATTTTCAGTGTTGCCAATAAAAA